AACAGTGAATGTTTTATGTATCGCTTGGATTTGATTGGAACATATTGTCCCAGTTGGTTACCAATTTATTTACATTTTCAACAGCACGCTGAGAACTTCTAAATCCCTGGAAAGTTTTTCTGAGGTTGCAATAACTAATATGTTAAATTAATAGGTACACCCTGAGGTTTCACGAAGGCCCTTCGAATAAGATAACAATAAATTCAGGTCAGCTAAGTGTATGGTTCGGGAAGAAGAAGGTAAACTTCCTTTAAATTTTCCGATGATAATTTCAGCTCCATCGATCAACGGGTTGTTTCGCGAAAGTTTCATGGTCGGGGCGACTGAAATTAAATCCCTTTTAATACGTGTTACTTCTTGTTTTAGGGGTATTGGGCCAAACGGAGAAGTGGTGCTACATACTACAGCTAACAATGGGGGATGCAGTGACAAGTGGGGACAAATCTTACAAATTTCTAAGAAGACAATTGACGAAGAACTGACGCGATATAGTACAGACGCAATATAGAACTGACGCAATATAGTACAGATACCGTACTATATTGTGCAGACAGCGGCTGAGTATCTTACCATGTACACGTACGAAAAATAACGTCAAGGCTATTACAAAATCAACAAATCAATCATTTCCAGAGAGATAAACTTTCACAAATGGCAGAAATTAAATAGGATACTAAGGCAAGGCAGCGCTAGAATCTATTACGCTATTGAATGTTAAAGCGCTCTTTTTGGGGTTGCTGTCTTAGTTTCAAAACCTGGAATTCAAATACCATTCCGATAACACTTGTTGGGTGGAAGGAGAGGGAACCTCTTTGTCATGTTTATGAACATTTCTTCCTTTGATAATACAGGCTTTTCCAGAAGCCTGGTACCAACTTTGACTTAATAACCATCCGTCAATGGGCCAAGCGACCGCTGACCGGACAAGATGTATTCTTGGTTGACAGGGCATTCAATAATTTTGGTGGATGGTTACAGGACACTTTGCGTTCAGCGAATGATGCTTTAGTGGAGGGCTGGAATGTAACACTGCCATTTCAACTTAATCGCTAAAGTCATAATCAGCAAGCTTGAACGACCTACATTTTAAAAGCTTTTTAAAGAGGATTGAACACTATCATAAAAAAGGAACGGTTTGAAACCGGAGAAAATTACCATCAGCAGTTTTATTTTTCAACTGACGTTTAGATTACAATAATTACCATAGCAACGCAATGTATCTGATCGATAAGAGGAACGGAAAATAGAGGAAAATTATCGAAGAAATGACAGTCTTCCCTCAAAGAGACCCAGGCAGCCAGAACCAGCGAGGATATC